AATGATTTGGGACTATACCTTTCTCTAGACTTTCGTTAACAATTTGAGTGTAAAAATACCCAGTATAAGTTATAGAGTCTTTAATGGCCCCTTCGGATAATAGTTTCTTTCCACCAATCTTATTTTTGAATTTTCTAACTATATCTAGCATGTCATTCGTTGATAGGCTTTGGAATTTAAAGCCAATGGCTCCATTACCACTAGACATTATTTCACGATTACTAGGATCAATATTTAAGCTGATTTCCATCACACTATCAATGAAGTAGTATTCAGTGAATGTGCTATTTCACTTTCATGTGTGAAAAGTTGGCCTTTTATTACTATTTTTTTAATGACACTATTATCTTTAGACATAGATATGCAATTTTTCAAGTGTTTCCACATGGCCTTGCTATCTCCTGCATTACATGTTATTTTGTGTTCAATGTATTTAGCCTTTTTAACATTTATTAGTCGTTTGTATTTACGCCGGGTAATATTATATTCGTTCCAATCCCCCGACTATAGAGCGATATTGTAGAGATTTAACTTATGTTGGTTTAGGTTTGCGAGTTCGAAATCATACCACTTGTTCATCAGTTTAACACTGATTTCTTTCGAATATGTCAAAATGCTCATAGCATTTGATAATGTATTATTCAATAATGCAACCTTATTATCGATACTTAAATTCTCAAAATGGCCATAATTAGATTGCCGCAATTGGTAAACAAGGCAATCACAAGTGTAATATTCCCAAGAAGTTATCACTTTCCTAGCTCTCATTTGGAACATTCTTTCCAACTTGATTTTAAAGTAGATAGTTTCGTGATCTGTAACTCGATGGTCATCCAATCTTTTACAAGAAACATATTGGCTGTTGGTAAATAATAGGTCTATCATTGTTTTTGAGTTATCCCCTTTTCGCGTATAAAAATCAATTTTTTGGTCCATTGCGAATGACTGAAATAAGTCCACTAACTGCCTACTGTTAGTTGTTATTTTGTAAAGATTATTATTGAAATCACCAATGAAAACAACATTATCGTGTGTTAAGCAATTATAATTTAAAATATCGTTTAAGTGTAAAATAAAGTCTGCATCACTTGAGCAAGGAGAATGATAGATTACGCCTATTTGGTATTGGGGAAAAATATTTTTAATTTTAAGTATAATACACCAAAGATTTTTTTCATATGTGGAGTTATAACTTGGGGAATATTCAATTGATTCATGTACGTATACTAATACACCGCCCATATGTCTACTATGCGAATTACAACGAACAAGTTTGTAGGTTTTTATCTGTAACTCTTGGTTAGTTATATCTTCAGTCGAGCAACTCTCTGAACAAAGAATCAGATGTGGCTTCTCTATTAAGAGCTCACACTTATTAGCGATGATACTATTAATGTTTAAATAAATACAATTTAGTTCATTTATTTTTCGTTGCTAGAATCGCATTTTTCTTTTAGTGTTAGCATGTTTTTTATATGCTGGACAATCTATACTGAAAGCATAATGATTTACATCGACTTCAATAACTTTTTTCTTAACCAATTCGCTACAGTTTACGCATTTAACGATAGTTGAGGTACACTCTTTGCTATCATGATTTCCAGCACATTTGCTACATGCTATTTTATTGGAACATTCAATTGCTTTGTGCTTATATCCCAGACATTTATAGCATCGTAATACATTTAGATGTTCGTAAACAACGCAAGTGTCCCACTCGATATTAATTCTTTTTTGTTTCAGTACATTTTCATAAGTGACTGCATCAGTTTCTACTAATGCAATATAGCTTTCCTCCATACGATTAGTATTATCATACATCTTTAAAACTTTGAACTCTTTTTCCAGAGCACACATCGTTCTGCTTGGTTAAGCATTCTACGAGATGATCATTTCCAATTTTTTCAGTTAAACCAACTATTTTAAGTATCTTTTTTATCTCATTTTTCTCTTTTGTTTTCTGTGCTTCGTATTCATTTCCAATGCCCTCTCTTACTTTTTGTTGTACCTGCTCACAAGCGTCTTTATTTTTGCATTCCACTATTATTCCCCCACTATTTATCTCTCTCACTTTCATTACAAGGCCGTCCGTAGGCTCTACTACTTTTTTTAGTGCTTCCTTTGTTTCCTTAGCTTGTTTGCTTTTATTTTTCGGTTTAATAACAATTTTACTTGCGCTATCCGTAACCTTGGTAACTTGAACATATGACATTTTCGTATTAACATTCTCATTAGCTACGCGTAAATCCTTTAGGAACTCATTACTCTTTTGGAATTCTTTAGACACATCACTTATGATCTCAGTTTTCATAGCGTTATTTTTACTTCAATGTTATGCTCCAAAAATGAGTTGAAATCTGTTATAATGCTACTTTTTATCTGTGAACATTTATTACTAAATATTTGCTCCACTATCTGTTTCACATCAGAAGCTTTCATTTTTGATTGTTCACATTTATTGATTAAATGTTTAATCTCAATGAACTTCGTATTTGTGTCTGACAACGCGCATTGATTACAGAACCATTTCAAATTAATATTTTCTGTTATTATTTTTACCTCATGTCTCTTTATGTTACTGCATTTCAAACAAAAATTATAACCACACCCACCAGAGCATGATATCATTTCGTCTAATTGAAGCAGTTTCGCAGTACACTCTTTACATTCTGCCGGCATCATGTACAATTTACCATAAGGAGTATGGCAAAAACACAACAGACGGCCAATTTATTCGCCACTCGACTCACACACCTGCTCTCTGAGAGCACTCTTCAACGATCCGACATACGCGAGCAGTGGAACCACATTTCCCGATCATTAAGTACCGCCGCCGAAGAAGTAGTTGGATTTCAGCGAACCCGAAAGAACAACTGGTATGATGAGGAATGTCAAGAAGCCGCAGAGAAAAAAATGCCGCCTACAGGGCCACGCTGCGATCGGGCGCAACGCGAGCCATGTGGGACCGTTATAGGGAACTGAAGAAGGAAGCGAGACGTATTTGCCGCAATAAGAAGAGAGAGGCCGAAATACGTGAGTGCGAAGAGCTTGAGATGCCGACAGGAAGAACGCCCGAAGAATCTACCAGAGGGTTAGGCGACTTACGGAAGGTTTCAGGACCGGGGCGAACTCCTGTAAGAACAACAATGGCGACCTAGTGACCGATGTCCAGAATATACTTAAATTGTGGAGGGAACACTTTTATAACCTACTGAAT